TTATTTTCTCCTTCCTTCTGCAGTACCCAAGGATCCAAACCCTCACTGGCGCAGGGTCACGTGGAGTCATGACTGTGCTCTTCTGGCGTACGCTGACAGCACCGGTACGGTCCGAGTCTTTGACCTGATGGGCAGCGAGCTCTTCATTATACCACCGGTATGTCACTCATACTGTCCTTCTGTGTTTCTCACCTCCTGTCATTCTCTCTCTCTCACACTCTTACTCTACTGACGTTGGTTCCACTTTCCGCGCACAAACTTTTTTTGTGCACAGTAAGAACACTCTCTTCTATTTCAGTATAAGTGATAGCTGTGATGACTGGCTCCTAATGACTGAATTTCAGGCTTGTTTGCGTTGCCCTCTGGCTTTTTGCGCTGCTTGGCTCTTCTTTCATTCTCTTGCTCTTTCTCTGTCTGTAGACCGGGTAAGCCTGATCCTCTCGAGAGGGGCCTTTCCCCACTCTGTTGCCCAAGCAAGGAACACATTTTCTGGTTCCCTTCAGCTCTAAGCCCCCAATGCACTTGAAGGACATTTTCTGCAGAGTTTCTCTATCAGAAAGGCAGCTATCTTGCCCCTTTTACCTTTTCAAATCCCCCCTCATCCCCCCTCTGTATTTCTTTTGATTGCACTGCTAGTGAGGTTTCAGTCAGTCTATTGCTGTCTTTTCTCTCTCTCTTTCTCTATCATGCTGGTTCTCATCCTCCCCCGCATTACTCTACACTCTTCCATTTCTCTGTCAGAAACTATTAGTTTAGTCTCACAAGATGCCCTCTCTCTATAACAGAGTCTGAGTGTGTAATGGCCTGCACACTCCATATATTTTTGTCACTTTCAAACTCTGCTTCCAACTGTACCTCATCTTTTTGATGTCTCTCTAGGCTATGAGCTTCCCGGGAGATTTTAGCTATGCAGCAGCCGGCCTGATGTTCTTGGAATACACCGCCAGTGCCCAGTGGTCAGCGGAGCTGCTGGTGATCACCTACAGCGGTCAGCTCAAGAGTTACCTAGTCAGGTACTTGTAGAGCAAGGTTGTCATTTTATACTAAGACAAAACTCTTGATTGATTGTTTAAAAAATATGTTTGTGGATTGAAATAAAATAATGCAAAGCAAACAAAAACTGAAATGAAACAAAGTAAAAGTGGGTTAAAAAC